TTTTTTTTTTTTTTTTTGCAGTTTTATTTGGCTGGGGTTGGGTTTGAATCCACCACCTCCAGCTTATGGGACTGGTGCCCTACTCCTTTGAGCCACAGGTGCTGCCCTAGGCCATTTGTCTTGTAACAGTATTACTTTTTTCATGATATCTTGTCTAGATAGAGGAGAAAATTTTGTCTTTCTGTCTTGTAGAAATCTGGGGGACAGGGCATGAGTCTAGCTCATCTAATGGAAGTTTTAAGTCCCCTGCCTTTAAATTGATGAGCTCTTCCAAATGCTGTGTGTTGTCCCATAAGCTGATACGAAGGTTAGTTCCTGTACTTGTGGGGCTTGTCTGTGGAGACCACCAGGAGCTTTGTCAACAGCTCAGGGGGATAACCCTGTGCTCCCAGATCAAGGACTTTAGAGATTTTGAAGGATTGTTGTGATTTTATGCTTGTAAGCTGTCCTACCCTTCACATGGGATACCAAATGGAGCTTCCAATGGAGCTTCGCGCCTACCTAGAAACCTCCTAGTTGTGTTGGTCCCAAACTTTCAAAATCAACCTCTTTCAGAGGTATCACAGCACCTTACCTGTTAGCTGAGATTCTGACATCTATAATCAGAGAATTATATGGTCCCACGCAGACAAAAAGTATATAAGGATACCATTGGCATAGTGAAATATGTTGACATTTCAGAAAGTGCAGAATGGGTCTGATGATGCTTGGGGAAGGTCAGATGGCCAATCAGATCTTACCAGGACAGCATCCAATCTTTGCTGTATAGTAGTACATGTTCAATAAATATCTGTCATACATATTAGACATATTAATCTAACCTACATCTTATACATACAACAAACATACTGTTTGTCCTCCTGCAAAATTTCCTTTACTGGATCCTTCATAATGTGGTGTGTGTTACCTGCTAAATAAGACATGTGTACAAAATACTGCTCCCCTACTTCAAGGTAGGATTAACTCTGTGGTACAATTCATGCTCTAGGGCTCTCCATGAGATCCGGCTGAAGCTTCCTTCAGATAAGACCACATTCTTGTTCAGCTCCCTTCTGGGGTCTATCCAGCTTCCTTCACTGTTTCCTCTGAGGGCATTCTCTCAACAAATTATACACTCGAGTCCTGTTGCAGGACTCTGCTTCTAGGGAAAGTGACCTAAGACACTGCATAAGTAAAAGCCCCAAACTGTAAAATCCATCTGTGTCCATGACCTCAAGACAGGGCATGCAAAAAGATGGAAAGTGACGACATGAAATCAGAAAGAGAAAAAAGGCCACACAGAGAGATACCTTTCTTGTGCGGAAAAAGAAAAAAAAGCTAAAAACAACAGGCAGAAGCACCTTTGGACCATCTAAGTGAATACAAACCCCCTGGGCTGTGCAGTTGGTGAGAACTCTCTTGTTTAGAATCTTGACTTAGAGCAATTCCAGATCAAAGAGTGGGTATTCTTTGCCATGGGCATTAAAGTTTCTAGGACTTGGAAATGGTCACCTTGATAAGGACTAGTGGACAAAAAGGTGACGTGGGATTTCAGGTACAACAGCTATAGAACTTTGGTGATAAGGCATGTAAGTCCAACAGAGGTGATTCAGGAGCTACAGTGACCTTTCCATGAGGAGTGATTTGTCAATAATATTAGAAGTCACTGTGTATTATGTAGATATAACTAGCTGCATATTATGTACTTACATACAAGTATATTGTCATTCCTAATAAAAAAGAATTTTTTTTTTTTTTTGAGACTCACTCTGCCGCCCTGGGGTAGAGTGCCAATGGGGTTATCATTGCTCATAGCAACCTCAAAATCCTAGGTTCAAGTGATCCTCCTGCTTCAGGCCAAAACTGCAAAAAAAAAAGCACAGAAGGGAGTAGATTAAGGAATTAAGAAAGGGAGTGTTTGCTGCAGCAAGGTTCTAGGGTTTCCAGGAGCAGCCAAAGATAGTACAGGGATTGTAAGTCTGTAGATGCAAACCCTTTGTTATCTCCGAGTGTTGGTAAAATCATGTGAAACTTCACAACCTGGGCTTACTTTTGCTGTGGGGAGAGATGAGAAGGGTTGGTTCCACTTTTGGCCTAGAATAACCAGGGGCAGAGGGAGCTGTGTCTCTTGCAGCTGGGACAAGGCCCATGTCAGCCTCCTCTAACTGACTGAGGCCTTGTAGAGGGTAGAGCCACGTCTTCAGTTTTCCTACCTCCTCCTACACAACCCTATTAGGACACTGCTGCAAAAACATAACCTGCAAACCAAAATGTCAGTTCTATGGCCTAGGCCAAACAACAGGTTTTCTGCAGGAATGAGAAAGATGTGTGGGTGGAGAGCTAGTGGGTGAGGCTGTTGTGCAATCCACCTTCCCCAGGCCCAAAGGGGATGATGAGTGAGGAAGTCATCATCTGGGCCTGAGTGTGGGACCTGGGTGTGAGTGTGTGGGCACATTCTAGTATCTTAGAATTCTGTGATCTGAGAGAAAACTGAGAGGCTTCACAGGTACATGAGCTTTCTTTATTCTTCAGAGACTGCAGACAACTTCTGAGGTAGCTGCTGTAGGGATTATTCTTCACAGCAACACAGGTTATGTCAGATAATATTCTGGCTGTCTATGGCTGAGTAACAAACCTCTCTAAAACACAGAGGCTTAAAACAGCAATGAGTTTACCATTTCTCAGGATTTGGATAAAGCACAGTTAGGAAAGTCCTAGCTCAATTCTAGGTAATGTGGAACAGCATGGTTGGAGCAACCCAGATAGCATCTTCACTTGATGACTCATCCATTGGTTAGAATAGATCTACCAGGTTTATGCCTCTGGGGCCTTTCCCTCTCCATATGGTCTCTGCATGTGGTTTCTCTCCAGCAGGGTGGATAAAGGGAAACCACTCATGACCATTAATAGCTCAAAGTGAAGGCTGCCATGTCCTTGATTAATTGATTGATTGATTGAGACAGAGTTTCACTCTGTTGCTCAGGCTAGAGTGCTGTGACATCAACCTAGCTCACAGTAACCTCAAACTCCTGGGTTCAAGCAATTCCCCTGCCTCATCCTCTGAGTAGGTGAGACTACAGACACTGGCCACAACGCCCAGTTAAGTTTTTCCTGTTTTTAGTAGAGGCAGGCTCTTGCTCTTTCTCAGGGGTCTTGAACTCCTGAACTCGAAGGAGTTCAGAAGGGATCCTCCAGCTTCTGCCTCCTAGAGTGCTAGGATTATAGGCATGAGGCACCCATGTCAGGTCCTTTTAAAGCTTAGAGGTGGAACTGACACATTGTTTCTTCTAAAGCATTCTTATATCAGTTAAATTGAGTTGTAGGCCTATTCCGGATTCTTGGGTCGCAGACTATGTAAGAATTACATTGCTGGGAGGTATATTTCATTGGGGACAACCAAAGAAACAAACTACCACACAAGAAGGGCCCTAGGGACAGACCTTTGTGGGCTGAAGAGTGTTCCAGTTTCTAATCCTATGTAGCCCTCTCTTTAGAGAAGATGATTGGCGGGCAAATGTTAGGTAACTCCGAACTCCTCTCACAGACAAATGGTGTTAAAGGTGAGGGATGTCTGGTCTGCTACAATCGGATCAGCCTGTTATCAAAGAGGCCTGGCTGTGTGTCTACATTCAGTCTGTTAGGCCTTTACAGAGTACAGCCTGTATGCCAGGTTCTTAACACACGTTATCGCTGTTTTCTGAGGCTCGAATGCGGCACTTCTGCTCCTACCTCACCGCACCTAGCATCGCACCCCGACGCAGTCTCCCAGCCTACTCCGCCCGGCAGCTAGAGTTGGAGCAGAACGCTGAAGGGCGTGAGGTCCCCAGGAGGGCAACACTCAAGGCAGCCAGCTTGGCTGGCCAAGCGGTTGGCCCCCAGGTAGCCAATGGGGCTTCCAATCGGTCGCCGCTGTCCTGTGGGAAGGGCGACAGCTAGAACTCGGGGTAGTCTCGGTAGCAAAGCCAGGTCTCAGCTAGTCGTGCGCGCCCCCGGCCCGCCCCGCCCACACACGCACGCACGCGCGCCCCAAACCCAGCCCACCGCACAGCTCTGGTCCCGCCCCCAGATTGACCGCGCGAGCCACCGTCTGCACAGCCCCGCCCCGCACGGCCAGGCGAAGCGGAGCCGGCCGTGCGGTGTGTGTGTATGTGTTCGCGGGGCGCCGTCTCAGCCCCGGGAAGATGGTGGCGGCTGCGGCGGCGACTGAAGCAAGGCTGAAGAGAAGGACGGCGGCGACGGCAGCATCCGCGGGCAGGAACGGCGGGCCGCGCCGGGACTGGGACGTGACCGGGGCTGGGAGGTCGGGACTGGAGGCCAGGCTGCGCCTCCCGCCGCTGCTGTCGCCGCCGCTCCGGCCGTGGCTGCTGCTGCTCCCGCCGCTGCTACTGCTGCTACCCTGGGAGGCCGAGGCCGCGGCGGCGGCGGCTGTAGTGTCGGGCTCAGCCGCAGCCGAGGCCAAAGAATGTGACCGGCCCTGTGTCAACGGCGGCCGCTGCAACCCTGGCACCGGCCAGTGCGTCTGCCCTGCCGGCTGGGTGGGCGAGCAATGCCAGCACTGCGGGGGCCGCTTCAGGTGAGTGGGGGGTGGTGCTGGAGGGTCGGGCCCAGCGGGAGGCTGGGGCTACGGTGCGCTAGAGGCGGCTTCAGGCTAGAGGCGGATTTCAGACAGAAAGTGGGGAGGGTAGGGCCGCCCCACGGTATTCCAGGGCCATTTGCTTCGGGGAAGATGGTTGTCTCTGGCCAGGGGTCTTTCTGGTGGAAGGTGAAAAGGTGCAAGGCAAGGGTGTGGGTATCCTGAAGGTATTTGGGTGCCGTGGACTAGACTGGAAGAAACCCGAAGGTCCTAAAGAGTATCAAAGGCAGTCTTTGAAACTGGGCCTATTTCGCATAAAAGAGATATCAAAGGAAAGGTGAGTGAGCCAGTCTTACTGAAACACTTCCTTTTAATATCTACTTGTACGCTGTGGCTTGATGAGTTCCTGACTGGAGATGTGGGGTACTCTGAAGAAATGGGGCCCTGGAAGTGATTGGTTGGCTAGAGATAAAAGAGATAGAAGAACCAGTGGTTGTTGGCTAAAAGGAAGTGAGGAAACTAGTCTTTTGAAGCTCACTGGAGCTGGCAAATTGGAACAGGGTCTGTGGTAGAGAGGGGATGGAAGGAGATTACTGTTAACCCATGTGTCTAGACAATATGGAGTTCTGAGTTGGCCTGGTTCAGGGCAGTACCTTTTGGATTGATCACTCATTAATTACTTAATTCTCAGTTATCTATTATTTGCTTTAGTTGTGCAAGCATTTCCAGATAGTACACATAAATAAATAGATTAGCCAGACTTTGGCCTGGTCCTCAAGGATTTTGGAATATGGCAAGAGAAAGAAGTGTACACACATAACCCTAGTCATGCGGGATACAGAGTCACTCAGGCCTTTGGCAGATATTTACTGAACACCTCCCATGTCTCATGTGGGGGAGTGGGGAAATGTGAACAAGACAGATGTCCCTGCTCTCATGGACTTTCTAGTGGGGGCAACAGGCACTTAAGTAAAAGAAATGAACAAGGTAATTTCAAATAATGCTAATCAAGAAGATAAAACATATTATAATCAGTGATGACTTTAGGAGAAATCTCTCATTTGAAGTGACATTTGATTTGAGACCTGAATGAGGCCTGAATGGGAACCTGTGGGAATTCAGGGATGGTGAACTTTTGACTAGCTCAGGCAATGCAGGGAAGACTTTGAAGAGGAGGTAACACTGGATTTGAGCATTTGAGGCTAAGTAGGATTTGGAAATGAGGAGCTGGGAGAAAAATTCCAGATGCATGGAAGAATGTCAACAAAGTTGTGAGGGCTAGAAATTAAAGTTTTGCTGGTGCCTATGTAGCAGTCAGTTCTGAGAGAGAAATTTAAATTTTATAATTGTAGGCTTAGGTAATGTCAGATCATCTAGTGATCTCTAAGAATATTGAGCAGGTGGGCTCTCTAGTTTCATGGATGGAAAAAAACTGACTTTAGGACTAGTATGTAGTGGAGCTGGTCTTGTAACTTAGGGTGTTTTGATTTATGAATAACGTTAATCTATGTATAGTTGTTGAGGACCCTTCTGTCTTAGGTTGTTATTGAGCTTATGTCCTAGATTGATAATAAAAAAATCCAATAATCAGTTTATTATAATTTCGTTTAAGGCTGTAGAGGTGAAGAGCAGGGAACAGAGGATTTAGTTTGAAATGAGAGTAAGATTGGTCACTGAGTAAATGACTTTTGAGTTGAAATCTGAGGGTTGAGATGGTCCACCCTATGAAAAGGATGGGTTGCTGAGGGGCCAGCATGTACAGGGGCTTGGGATGAGCATGATCTTGGTAACCTGGATGGATGTAACTAGAGCAGAGAGAGCAAAGAGGAGCTTTGTTCAGTGTTCTTCATGTTCCCTAGACTTGAGAGGTAGGGGCAGGCCAAGTGGAGATCTAGGGGTTGGATTGAGAATTTTGACCTTTAGCCTAAGCAGTGGAATGGCATAGTTCACTTTTGTTTTCATGACATTATAGGCTTTTAGATTGGAGCGAGAGTAGGAATGGCCTTGAAGGTGAGGCAAGAATATTTTGAATTTGAGGAGCATCCAAAATCGGGTGAATGGATGGCTGGGTCAGACTAAGGTTCCTTCAGGTTCTGAAAATCTGGGAAATTATGATAGGCAGTGGGGACCCATAGGGTAGGAAGGAATGTTCTTAGAAGGATCAAACTCTCTGGAATGCACAGAGTAGGTAGATTGATTTTGGGGCATGAGAGATGGTGGACAGCTTGATGGGATCTGTTGGCATGATTCAGGGCAGTGGGAATGGAGGCAGGGATAGATGCTGCATTGGGTTGTAGAAGCAAAATGGACAAGTCTTTCTTTGAATCTGGTTTGCTCTTGGGAAGAGAAAGGGGGATGGTGAAAGAAAGAAAACTAGATCCTATCTTGGGCAATTGAGAGGGTAGTGATAGCATTAATAGACACAGGGACACAGGAGGAGGAGCAGGTCTGAGACGAGTTTAATTTTTTACACAGATTTTGGAGTGTTCTCAGGGTATGTACCTGGCAAATGTAAACATTGGAATCATCTATGGGTGAGGGAGATTATTAGGAAGACAGGTCTGAGCGTCCATATAAACAGTCCAGAGGACTGGAGAAGAGCCACTGGTTATGGGGAATAGGCTGCCATATCCAGCAACGCTGGTTGTTTCAAATGGTGTCATGTGTGAGTAAAGGGACTGCCCTTGTTATTATGGACACTCCCTTTGAACTGGTTCTAGGTGATGTCACTGCTTTTTCGTGGGTAAACAGTTATGACTTTGGTCCTGATGATACCATTATATATATATATATATATTTTTTTTTTTTTTGAGACAGAGCCTCAAGCTGTCCCCCTGGGTAGAGTGCCGTGGCATTACAGCTCACAGCAACCTCCAACTCCTGGGCTCAAGCGAGTCTCCTGCCTCAGCCTCCCAAGTAGCTGGGACCACAGGCGCCCACCACAATGCCTGGCTATTTTTTGATTGCAGCCGTCATTGTTGTTTTGGTGAGCCTGGGCTGGATTCGAACCTGTCACCTTAGGTGTATGTGGCTGGCGCCTTAGCCACTTGAGCTATAGGCGCTGAGCCAGATACCATTATATTTTGTGGATTCTGGAATTTGCATTTTAGAAAGTAAAAGCAGGGGGATCTTATGTCTCTGGGCTTTTAAAAAAAATTCATAATTTTCAGTTGAAGGATTTTTTTTGAGTGAAGAGTGAAATGTTGGTTTGATTGCAGTGTTATATATCTTTTTTTTTAGACAGAGCCTGTTTCTGTTGTCTCAGGCTAGAGTGTAGTAGCTTCATCCTACTTTATAGCAACCTCAAACTCCTGGGTTTAAGCTGTCCTTCTACCTCAGCCTGCCATTAGCTGGGACTACAGGTGCCTGCCACACTGCCCCAGTTAATTTGTCTATTCTTTTTTTTTTTTGAGACAAAGCCTCAAGCTGAGCCTCTGGGTAGAGTGCCCTGGCTTCACTGCTCACAGCAACCTCCAACTCCCGGGCTCAAGCGAGTCTCCTGCCTCAGCCTCCCAAGTAGCTGGGACTACAGGTGTCTGCCACAGTGCCCGGCTATTTTTTGGTTGCAGCCATAATTGTTGTTTGGCGGGCGTGGGCTGGATTCGAACCTGCCACCTTAGGTGTATGTGGCTAGCGCCTTAGCCGTTTGAGCCACAGGTGCCGAGCCTAATTTGTCTATTCTTAGTAGAGATGGGGTCTCAGTCTTGCTCAGGCTGGTCCTAAGCTCCTGAGCTCAAGGGATCCTCTGGCCTTCAGCCTCCTAGAGTACTAGGATTAGGGACATAAGCCACCTTGCTGGCCAATGTGTATCTTGATTTAACTTATACATCTTTGTATTACTAAACTAAAAGACATTAAATAAGTACTTTTCTGTTTTAGAATGGCATTGAGTCAGAGTGTTTTTTAACATTTTTAGTTCTGTAATTCTGTGTTGCAGTTGCTGTGATAAGTCTTTTTCATTGTTTTTTTTTTTAAGCCTCTTTTTTTTTAATTAAATCATAGCTGTGTACATTAATATAGTCATGGGGTACAGTGTCATTGTTTCTTTTTTGAAATTTTTTGGTTTTGTTTTTTTTGAGACAGAGTCTTACTTTGTCACCCTCAGCAGAGTGCTGTGACATCACAGCTCACAGCAAGCTCCAACTCTTGGGCTTAAGTGATTCTCTTGCCTCAGCCTCCCAAGTAGCTGGGACTACAGGTGCCCGCCATGATGCCTGGCTATGTTTTTTTTGGTTGCAGTTGTCATTGTTGTAGCAGGCCTAGGCTGGGCTTGAACCCACCAGCCTCTTGTGTATGTCGCCGGCTCCCTATTCACTGAGCTATGGGTACCGCCTGAGCAACCTCCAACTCTTGGGCTCAAGCATTCCTCTTGCCTCAGTGTTTTTATTTTTAGTAGAGAAGGGATCTCACTTTTGCTTAGGCTGGTTTTGAACTCCTGAGCTCAAGCAGTCCACCTGCCTTGGCCTCCCAGAGTACTAGGATTAACAGGCATGAGCCACTGTGCCTGGCCTGAAATTTGTTTTCTTTTTAGGGAAAGGGTCTCGCTGTGTCACCAAGGCCAAAGTGTTGTGGTGTGATCATAACTCACTGTAGACTCAAACTCCTGGTTTCAAACAGTCCTTGCTCCTCAGCCTCCCAAGTAGCTAGGACTATAGGCAAGAGCCACCTCGCCCAGCTAATTTTTCTTTTCTTTCTTTTCTTTTCTTTCTTTTTTTTTTGTAGAGACAGCGTCTTACTTTATCCCCCTTGGTAGGGTGCTGTGGCATCACACTGCTCATAGCAACCTCCGACTACCAGGCTTAGGAGATTCTCTTGCCTCAGCCTCCCAAGTAGCTGGGACTACAGGCGCCGGCTACAACGCCTGGCTATTTTTGTTGTTGTTGTTGTTGTTGTTACAGTTTGGCTGGGCTGGGTTTGAACCCACCACCCTCAGTATATGGGGCCAGCACCCTACCCACTGAGCCACAGGGACTGCCCTAATTTTTCTTTTTTATGGAGAT